AGCACCGGGGACCTATTGAAATTCCCTTGCGTTCACAGGGATCCTCCTATGGACAGGGCTCCACCTCTGGCCCCTGGCGTCTCACTGACAGGCTCCTGAGAAGTTCCTTCTCCACCCCAGCCTCTTGCAACACCTTCCTTCCCCTGAAACCAACCAAATGTCCAGGTTTGCCTAGAATTGAGGGGTTTCTGGAGGCAGGACTTTCAGCGCTAAAACGGGGTCAGTTCCAGGCAAACGGGGACAACTGGTCCCCCTCCTGCTCGCCCCACCCCCAGGCTGCTTCCTCTTCCCCGTGGTGAATATGGTGCCCCGGGCACTTCAGCATTCTCTCTCTCTCTCTCTCTCTCTCTCTCTCTCTCTCATGGTAGTTGACCTCTTCTGCCTTGAAGCCTCTCGTCCAGGGCACACCACCCAGAGATGGGGCACACCACCCCTGGCCACTCCCTCTTGTGGGACCAGCCAGCTCTCTACCCCTCAAAACTTGCCCTACCTATCCCCAGAGGATGTGGCTCCACCCGCACCTCACTCCCATGAGCGGCCCCTGGGGTGAGCTTCAAGGTGGAGGGGAGCCTGTCTATCCCATGCAACCCTCTCTGCCCGCCCAGAGGAAGGCGCACCCCGGGCACACGCAGGCAAGCCCGTCTGCTCCACGCTTCCAGGTCCGCAGGCCTGAGTCCTTGATGTATCGGCCCTTCCCCTCTCCGCTGTGCTCACCCCCAGCTGTGCTAATACTCTCAGGCCTCCTGCTCACTCTCCCTGGACCCCCACTGCTCTGCCTGGCCCAGACCCCTCCCTCCCAGCTCTGGACACAGCTTCCTACTTGTGTGCTCACCTCCTTGTCCGCCCAGCCAGGTGAAGCACACAGTAGGTGCCCTGACGGAGCAGCACTTGGCCTCTGGTGTGGGCGGCTCTGAGAAAAACACTCTGAGTTACTTTGCAGCCTCCAGGGAGAAGAAAGGTCCCCATAGGGGAGACCCCAGGGGTTCAGTGCCACACAAGGGTTCACCTCCCACGGCTAGGCCTAAAGCTGGAAAGCTCTAGAGGCCCCGCCCGGGTGTGCCCTGAGAGCAGAATGGAGGGGTGGGTCCCCAGACCAGCTTTCCTTCTGCTTCCTGATGCCTCTAAGGCAGCGGTTCTCAACCTGTGGGTTGCGACCCCTTTGGCAGTCGAACGACCCTTTCACAGGGGTCGCCTAAGACCATCCTGCATATCAGATATTTACGTTATGATTCATAACAGTAGCAACATTACAGTTATGAAGTAGCAACGAAAATAATTTTATGGTTGGGTCACAACATGAGGAACTATTTTTAAAGGGCCAGAAGGTTGAGAACCACTGCAAGTCTAAGGGCTTTGGCCCTGCCCCGCTCTGGCATGTGTGTTCTTGGGAGAGGCGGGCCCAGACTTTGTCCCTGGCACCTGGAGCTGACCCAGGACTGGTCCTTTTGGCCCAATCGCATGCACTCTGAGTCTTCACCCAGGGCCAGGCCTGGCCGGACCTGAAAGGCCTGCATATACTCTAGTCTAGCGGTCGCCAACCTTTCGGACCTCACGGCCCACCAGTGGTCCGCGGCCCACCGGCTGCCGACCGCTGCTCTAGTCAGTAGGACTGAGCACAGCAGTGTCTTCAGCCAGGAATAGGGGGAGTGGAGGAAGTGGGTTTGTAGGAAAAGAACACTGTGCTTTAAGCCACCTTCTTGTCTCTTATTCAGAGGGCTGCTGCCTAGTAACTGGGCTCTCATGCAATCTAGCTTTGCCCATCCTCTTCCTCAGTATCCACCCACCCACCCAGAGCTGTCTAGTGGGCCCAGTGACCTCTAGGGGTTAGCCCCAGTGAAAAAGAATGGTGCCAGGCACCGGGATGTGAGCCTGGAACTGGACCCAGTGGGATCCAGAGGCAGGTGAAGCACAGGGACCGCTGCCAGGAGCTCCGGTGCTAGCTGGAGATGGGTGGCAGCCAGAGCCTGGAGTTCAGAGGCTACAAGGCCTGAGGGAGGGGAGCAGGCAGAGAAGACTCCTGGAGCGGGTGGGGTAGGAGCCTGGCCTTGTAGGATTTTCTGGGCAGGGAACAACATGAAGGGAGGCGCAGAAAGGATGCTGAGAATGTACGTGCCTCAGGATCTCCTGCACCAGGTCACAGAAGGTCTCCATACACCACACGTCTACAGTGTGTGCGGCCCCCGCATCCTTTGGGGTGCCTCAGAGAAAGCATCCAGAGGTGGCTATCAAGGTTCCCTGAGGCAAGAAAACTATTTTGAGCTGCACCCTAGTAGAGACACATACGGATGTTACTGTGTTTTTTCATTTCATTTGCCAGTGACTCGAAGTAGTTACACCTCATTTTATAGATGAGGACCAGAGGCATAAGGAACTTACCGAAAGCCACGCAGCCAGTAAGGGGTGAAGTCAATTTGGAATCCGCCATTGCACTCTGCCTCGTTTTATGACAAGGTTGAGGAAGGGCAAGGAGTGCTTGTATTTAATGACCACCCATTCTGGAAACAGTGGCCAGAGTCTGAGTAATGCCGGCTCCATGGGCGTGGCCTCTGCCGGATCTGTGCTCCCGTCTCAGTAGTCCAGAGGGCCTTTCTTCCCCTGCAAGCGTTCCTTCTCTTCTCTTCCTCAACAGGAATCTCCAGACTTGCAGCCACTTGCCCTCAGGGTTGGCTCTGGGTCTGTGGGCCATAGACCCATAATACCTTCCAAAGGGAAGAGATGTGACCCAGACCTGTGAGGGGCGGGGGAGAGCGCTGGGCAAGGGAGGCAGGTGCCATGGTGGTGTCTAGTAGTTGCATCTGTGCCTCATACAGGCTGTGCAGCCTAGGCAAATGGGGCTACCTTTCTGAGCTTTCTCGTCTCCATTCTGGTGGAGTTGGGAGGTGGGCATTATAGAGACTTAAGGAGGAGGAGCTGGGGGAGCAGGAGGAGTGAAGGGGAAGACCACGCCTCCCCCAACCGGGCTTTTGCAACTCTGCTGCCCCCTAGTGGTGGCACGGAGTAACAGAATCAGGGTCTCCAGGAATCTCATGCTGGTCATCTCCCTGCCTCCCCCAGACAGGGAAGGGGGGTTCACTCTTAGTGGCCTTTACCAGCCCCCGCCTCCCTCAGGGCTGTCTGCGGTCCATCAGGGTCCTTCCCCTATATATAAGATACGCACAGCTGCGCCCAGGATGGCATGGGTTATTCCCTCACATATTCATTCTGCGAGTGGGGCGGGGGGAGGGGGAGGCTGTCGTTTGCAAGGGCGCTGTGCCAGGCCCTTGGCACCCATTTCTGCTCTCAGAGAGCCTGTGTCCAGTGGGAGAGCACACAGGCTTAAGGCCCTGGAGAAAACAGGAGCGTGTGGGGGCCGCTCTGAGGTGTGACAATGTAACGCTTGGGCAGCCCAGGACCAGAAACTGCGGGGCTCTGACTGTTGGTTTGTCCTGGGCACGTGGGCCTCCAGCCCGATGGGCTTCTGCCACTAGGTCAGTGGGGTCCCTCCTGGCAGGCCCTTCCAGAAGCGCTGGGCCACCCTCCCCACGGGACGGCGGGATTTCTACCTGTGCCTCCTGTCCCCCTGGCTGGGAATGGGACCCAGGGCGACAGCAGACCTTGCCTCACCCTTGCAGCCTCTTCTATCTATACCCCTTCTCCTCGGCCTGGCCTGGGAGCCTGGGCTGCAAACGTGGTAGAGAACATTGGTCTCAGCTGCATCTCCCCTCCCAGGCTGATGCTCTGCAGAGCTCCGGCTCCAACACGGTGTGGGCAGTGGACGGGAAGCCTGCCCCCCACCCCGCCCGCCTTCAGAGGCTCTGCTGGAACTCAGCGGCTGTGGGGGGCAGCGCATGGAGAAGGTGGAGATGGGGCGAGTGTGCCTGAGAGAGAGGCCCAGGGCCAGGAGCCTGGGTGCCTCAGTTGCTGGGAAAGTAGATGAGTCTGACTCAGTGGGAACATCCGGCAGGAAAGGGAGAGAGAGCAGGGGCATTTGCAAGGGAACTCTGGGTCTGTGGAGACTGGAGGTGCGGTTAGGGCGCTGTGTGAGGGCCTGGCCAGGAAAGAGGCTAACCGTGGTGGGGAGGGGAGGGCCCCAGGAAGGGGGTTCCAGAGGAGCAGAGGTGGGACCTCTGGCTGGGCTGGGAAGACAGAGGGCAGAGGAGTTTTCTGCTCTGGAACCAGAAGGGCACGAGCCAAGGCATGGGATTAGGGAAATGGAGGCCTTGTCAATCGGGGGGGTAGGGGACGCAGGCCAGCTGCTCCCCCGGGCACAGGGGCAGCCGTAGCTGTACAGGGAAAGTTGAGCGAGAAACTTTCCCAAGAAAGGCTGCTTCCTTTCTCCGGGTCAGGGAGGCCGAAAGGGCCAGCCCTAGAGAGCAAGGGCCCAGAGTCAGGAGCCTGAGGAGGGAAGGCTGGTGGCCAGCTGTGAGCTGTGGTGGCAGGGCCCTTCACCCCGTTCCAAAGAGACACGGACGGCTGAGCCTCCCAGGAGGGGCTGAACTTTAAAATACAGGAAAGGCGACGTTCAACCTAAAGGAATGAGTGACTAATGGTGTTATTTTAGGTATGAGTAGTATTTGGTAGCAGAGACTAGGTCAGGTGAGCTTCTTGATCGCTTCAGATTATGTTCACCAGGGCTGGGGAGGAGAGTGAGGGAGGCTCCTCTGAGGTGGGGGCCCTCAGACCAGGTTGCCGAGGGGCTGTGTCCTGTGTCCTTGGGCCTTTCTCTACTAAAGGGAGGAGTACAGGCCGCCCATCTGGCTGCAGGCAGGCCAGGCGGGGCCTTGCTGGGCACAGGGCCATGGGGAAAGCAGGGCCTGGGGCAGGTCCCCTGTGTCGGCTCGACCTGCCAGGGAGAAGTCCTGTCGGTCTGTCTGGGGACACTGGGCAGGGCAGGGAGAGGTGCTGGGCAGGACCAGCTGGCTGCCGGCGGCCTGGTCCTCGCCCTCTGAGGGTGGATGGGTGGGGGCAGTGGCCGAGGCGTTCCTGGCCGGGAGCCCAGAGGAGTCTTTTGTAATCACAACATGATCTCGTGTGCTGAGCAGCGAAGCCGGCAGGGAGAGGCCGGCGGAGGCCTGGCTCCAGTGGCTCCAGCGTCCCTCCTGCTTCGGCTCCCCCGGGGCAGCTCTGGAATTCTCTCCGTGCCTGCTGTTGCCATGCACTCAGCTGTGAGTGGCACCTCGCCCTTGGTGGAGGGCTTCTTGGGGCTGGGCGAGGGTTGAGATATCAGGAAGCCATACTCTGGCGGCAGCTGGGGCAGCTGGGCCTGGGAGGAAAAGGACTGTGCCTAGGCAGGCGGAGGGCTGGGCAGGGGCATTGGTGACCAAGGAGACCCTGCAGCCAGACAGGGAGGGACCTGGGCCTCCCTGGAGCCGGCTCCCTCCTGTGCCCACTGCCAGCAGTTCACGGGCCCGAGAGGCTGGACCCCTGGGGACAGCGCTTTCCCACAGGCTGGGCGCAGGCCTGGGAAGTGGGGTCCAGGGCCTAGGAGTTCAGGACGAATCAGGGGCCTCTCTTCTCACTGTGGTTCTCGGCCTGCGAGCCAAACAGCTCGCTCCTCGGCCTCCTGAATCCCCTGGCAACTTCCCAGTCACGGCAGGTTCTGCTGCCAGAGCCATTTATAACTCCCATTCCAGGCTGTGCTCCGCAGTGGCGCTCCCTGGAGAGCCGGGGGAGGGGCAGCCCCCTGCTGGGAGCCTGGGGCCTGGGTATGAGGCCTTGACCTGAGCCCAAGAATGCAGAGCGATGGGCAGACAGGCCTCGGGGGTGGGGGCTGGGCCCTCTCTGTGCCGTCTCCCCTTGTGCCCCCAGCTCTGGGCCTCAGGTCTGTTCCTTGGGTGGTGAGAATCAGGTTGGTGGGGAGGTTGGGGCACTGGTGAGTGTTGGGCCCAGCAGTCAGGGTCGCGGGCCCCCTGCCCTCTGCAGGGGCCTCACGGGGCCGAGTCCCCGATGAACAGGCAGGAAGAGAAGGATGCAGAGCTGGACCGGAGGATAGTTGCTCTTCGAAAGAAGAACCAGGCCCTACTACGCAGGTACCAGGTGAGTGGGCTGTGCCAGGGGCGGGAGGACCAGCTGGGTGGGCTCTCCCTGTCTGACCCGCACCCCTTGTGCGGTGGTCTCTCCCTGAGGGCTCGGGCTGGGGACCGGGCAAGGGTGGGTGTGGTCCATCTCAGAGGCTCGGAGGGTCTTGGTGGGACACTGCCTCCTGGTGTCCCGCCGGCGTCTGTGTCTCTGTGCTTCTGGGGCCTATGCTGACCCCGGCTCGTCCCACAGGAGATCCAGGAGGACCGGCGGCAGGCGGAGCAGGGGGGCATGGCTGTGACCACACCGGAGCTCCTGCGCCCTGACAGCCTCACCGTCACCATCAGCCAGGTTCCCGGTGTAAGCCCCACCCGCAGGCAGGGCAGGCGGCAGGAGGTGGAGGCCCAGCCCACGTCAGGGGAGGACAACCCCCCTGCCCCTCTGCTTCTCCCACTTACAGTCCTGGGCTACTCTCCAGCCCCCAACCCCATGCAGCCCAAGCCACTGCTGTCCCCCATCCCCTAAGGGCCACAGCTGAAAGGCCAACCAATAGAAGCCTCCTCATACCCTTTTCAGCCTCACAGCCCTGTACATAGGCCTCAAAGCACGGGCTACTCCTAAACCCCAAACCCCAGGGGTCAGGGAACTGGGACTGAATGCTAGGAACCGTGGATGAGGGACAAAGCCCCATTGTCCAACTGCTCTGCACTTCCCAGCTCAGAGATGACCCGTCGCTGTGGCATCTTGGGCCCCAGGGTGGCCCCAGGCCTCGATAACCTAATGCCACTGGCATGTGAACACCCGTGGAATCAGCTTCTCTGTGGGCATTCCAGGGAGGGCCAGGGTGGAGCCCTGCCTGGGGAGCCACCCAAAGGACCCAGCCCCCAGCACTGCCCACAAGGCCTGAGGGCAGAGCACCTCATTCTGCAGGAGAAGCGGGTGGTCAGCCGGAACTGGGCAAGGAGCACCCTTGGGCCCGGAGCAGCCAATGAGATGCCGGAGGATGAGGAGGTGGGGGACCTCGCTGATACTTTCTGCTTGGGGGAGCGGGTGGAGCTGGCCGTGACCATGGAAAACAAAGCCGAGGTGAGCAGGGTGGTGGGGGCAGCCCAGGGGCCCGGTGTGCAGCCTCTCCTCCCCCCGCTCTGCCACATTGCCCGGACTCACCTCCCCCAGGCCAAGCGGATCGTAAGTGAGAAGCCCAGACCGAGGAACCAGGGGGCAGAAGGGTCACCTGTAGAGGGCATGGGCCGGAGCTCCTGCATGCACATGGCTGCCAGCTTGGATTCTGCTCGGAGGGTATATCTTCAAGAGGGGATGGGGACATGGCCAGGCAGCACCAGCAAGAATTCCCACCCTTTCTCCCTTTCTCGGGCCAGTCCCTCTGTTGGGTGGTCTTGCAGTGAGAGTCAGGGTAAGCCAGACCTGTGATCCAGCCCCTTACCCTACCTGGACCTCTGGTGGCAAGTGGGTGGGGCCGGGAGGGAGCCAGGGACTGGCCACGTGTGAGGTTCGACCTCTAGGTGGCAGCAGCACCTAGTCCTGGCTCTTGCTCACAGCCACTGGGTGCCCTCACGCTGGGCCTGGCCACACCCCCCTGCAGCATCCCCGTGGGTAGGCGCTACTATTTCCCCGTTTTACAGACGAGGAAATGGTACGCAGAGAGGTTAAGTAACTGCCCAAAAGACACAGCTAGCCAGTGGCTGGAAACCATGCCTATCGCAAACAGCACGTTAGAGATGGAACATATCTAATGTTTACACGGGGGCAGTGAAACCTTGAGAGAGGAAGGGGTTAGTAGACTCTGGATTTCCATTCCAAACTAAGGGCACTTTCTGCTTCTACCCCATAGTTCTGAGTGTCTTTTCCTGGCAGGGTGCCCGGGAGCCCCGGAATCCAGGCCTGGGACGCTCAGCTCCCCACCGGCCCGTGTGGGGGCCCCTAGAGGACGGCTGGGACTATGCGCAGTGGAAGCAGGAGCGGGAGGAGATTGACCTGGCCCGCCTCGCCCGGCACAGGGATGCACAGGGTGACTGGCGCCGCCCATGGGACCTGGACAAGGCCAAGCCCACGTGGGTGGCAGGGCAGGGAAGCTTGTTGGGCTGATGTGCTGTGGGGCTTGGGGTCGGCTCACTGTGGGTGCTTCTTGGAGAGCTGCTAGGACCCTCCCGGGTGGTGAGGGTCTGCCTGGGCCTTCGGGTCAGGGCTCTGTGTGAGCACTGGGTCCCCCATCTTTCCTGGGCCCACCATCTTCCTGCTGCCCTCACTTCTGGGGCTCGGGTGGGGGAGGTGGAGCAGGTGTGGGTCTTGCTGAAGCCTCTGTCCTCCCTGCACCAGCAGCCTGACGCCCCTCTGTCTCCACAGGCTCCAGGGCTCCAGCAAGCCTCGGGATGAGGGCCCCGGCAGGGCAGGCGGCACCAGGGGTGAGCCGCACCCCACCTCACTCCCTGCCCCTCTTCGGCTTTTTTTTTTTTAACTCCTGTCCCCCTCTTCCTCTCTTTTCTCTGTCTCTTGGTTTGCCACCTATTTTTAGAGCTGGAAGGAAGCATGGAAGAACATCTTCTTTCCTCTCCCTTGCTATCAGAGGAGGTCACCATGTCCTCCCTGCTCACCCTCCAAACCACAGCTCCTGCCCCTGGTTTCTGACCCCAGCTGTCTGGGGAGAAGCTCACCAGGAAAGTTTGTGCCGGGTCCTGCTGAGCTGTTGGCTCCTCGGGGGCGAAAGCCCGAGTTCCCCTGCCCTTGGCCTGACGCAGAACAGAGCTCTGCGGAATCCCTGGCCCCTTGTCTTACACATGGGAGGCTGTGCTGGGAGGCTGGTGCTAGAGCGGCTGGCCTGCCGCTGAGCCAGGAGTGGCAAAGTGAGCAAGGGACCCAGCCCTCTTGATGGCCAGACCAGGGCTCTGTGTGGGAGCCAGAAAACCCACAACTGGACAAGGAATGACCCACAGCTTCCTGGTCCTGAGAGAACTGGTGTCCTGCTCCAAACTGGTGTTTGGATCCTTTGTCACCCTCCCTTTCCCCATTTCCTTGGCCTCACTTAGGTCCCAGGAGCCACCGGAAGCTACAGCCCCCACCACTGTCCCCTGATGGCAAAGGTGAGTTAGGAGAGAGGGAGGAGCAGGGTCCCATGAGCTGGTGAAGGAGCCGGGCTGCGAAGGCCCTCTTCTCACCTTGATTTGTGGGCCATTTCTTGCAGGTGGTACTACTCAGGGTGGGCAATCTAGCAGACCCTTGGTGGCACTGGCCCTACACAGCAAAGCCCGAGGGACGGAGAGGCTGACTGGCAGGGCCCGCAGGTAACAGGGGGCAGGGGGCAAAATCAAGGGCAGCGTCTGAGCTTCCTGGTTTCCTGGTTCCCCTCTGCCCCAGGAATTGAGGACCCACACTGGTCCGGGTGCCCGCTCCGGCCCTCCGGGCCTCTGCCTCCTGGTTGCCTGCTGCCTGCGGCCTGGTGGCCGGTTAATGAGATGCCGGGAGAGGCCATCAGCAAAGGCAGCAGCCGCAAGAGCCTGGTGCCCAGGGAGGCCGGTGGTAATTACAGCAGTTACCTTCCCCCGGGAAGTCAGGTGCCTTTCCCAGGCAGCGCAGGCAGGGACGTGCCTGGAGTCTCCACAGAACTCAGGGTGCTTCAGGCTTGGCCGTAAATAGCAGCGGGGGACCTGAGATGGGGCTAAGGAGGGCAGTGTTCAGAGGAAACTGAATTCGGGGAGCAAGGCGGGTTGGAAGTGAGGCATCCCGGAGCCTCATTCTGGCTCTGATGCTCCTGAGACCCTGGAGCCACTGACTACGGTGCTGGTGACGTGAGGGGGGTGGATAAGAGTAGGGCCTACTGTGTGCTGTGTTTTTCCAGGTGGGAGACAAAGGAAGACAAGGAGGAGGTGGAGAGGCAGGAGGTGGGTACCTGGACAGAGGGTGGGGCGGGCTAGGGACATGAGCCCTGGTTGGCCAGCCAGCAGTGCCAATCTCTTGTTTCAGGGAAGTGAAAGCACGAGGCAGACTCTGAGTGAGAAGGAACATGCACAGACACAGAGCAGGATGGAGCAGGGCAGACCCCCGAGTGCCCCGGCAACCAGCCCAGCTCCAGCATCCCCGGAGGGGACAAAAGGGGAATCAGAAGCTTCGACAGCCAGTCCGGTCCCTGGCTCTCCACAAAACACTGACTTGGTTCCCCTTGACCTCTCTCTAGGAGGCGCCGGTAGCCCCGGGCCTGGGAAGAGCGTGTGCCTGAGGCCTGGGGCCCAGGAGAGTCCTGTGTCCCGGTGGGATGGTTCTGAGCAGCCTGTGTGGTGGGATGAGCCCCAGGCTGAGCAGGAAGTCCAGGCTTGCTCTGAGCCACAAAGAGGAGCAGGGCCCCTAGAACCCAGAAAAGACAGGTCTGGCAAGGCTGGGGCCCAGCAGGGCCTGGCACCTCGAAGCAGGCCCCCCAGAGGAACTGGACAAAGAGCGAGGGGCACAGGAGGTGTGAGGAGCAGAAGAGGGGGCCCTGGCCCTGCAGGGAGATGCTGAGCAAAGCTCCTGGGAGCAGGGGCACCAGACTGGGAAGAGAAGGAAAGATCGCAGTCAAGAGCCTTCTTTGTGATGGGCGTCTGGTTGCTGTGGCTTGTGGCCGTCTGGCTCAACAGTTTGGCAAACTCTCTGGCACAGTGACATGTGGTGGCAAGGAGCTGTCCTTCCCTGCACCTCATGTGCACATCCCTGTGCATGTGTGTTTCCCACCTGGTCTCTGAGGCTGGTAAGCCCTCTCTTGGGTCTACTGCAGCCCTGGCCACAAGCTGGCCCCGTCCCTCCCCACCCCTGAGGGAGAGAGCAAGGCTGAGAAGCACTTAGCACCTGGCTGCATGGCCTCCCTCTCCAGCTGCCAGCGTCCAGCTCCTCAGTGCAGGCCCCCAGCAGCTGGTATGACCAGTCCAGGCCTGGGCCCTTCCCCTCGCCTCTGCCTTACACCCAGATAACTCACAGCCCCAGACTCACAGGGTGGCCAATTCAGCAGCCAGAAGCCTTCCGCCCTCTGGAAAAGGAGGCTGAGGCCCAGAGAAAGGGAGGCCACAACTGCAGAGGCTGAGCTGGGGCTAGAAGAGCAGGCTCAGGTCTCCCCTAGAAAGACGTCCTCTCTGAAATGGGGTGAGAGTGGGAGGGGAGGGGACAGTCTCCTCTCCCCACAGTAAAGTGGGAGAGCTTACCATCAGGGACCACCCCCCACACCAGATCAGGCACTGAATGCACCCTGAATGGGGACAGGGAGCAGCCCTGCAGCCTGGGGTCATTTCCTGCCATCGCCTACTTCCTCCCCCCACCACCTCACTGCACCACAGTCAGGCAAAAGCAGGGACTCAGACAGGATCTCAGAGACGAGAAACAGCGACTCTCCATAAGTACGACAGCAGGGCTTGTCTTTCCGACTTAAGTCTCCATTTCTGCCCCTCCTCTGAGGCCCACGTCTGGTGAATTATCCAGACTCCGCACAAGCTGTGGCTTCCTCTCAATTCAACAAACATTTCCTGAGCACACACTACCAGCACTGCAGCCTGTGGGCGACAGTGACTTTGCCAGCAAGAGGGAGGGAGGAAACCTAGTCATCCGGCAGATCCAGGCTGCACAGCAGGAGCCGTTCTTGAATGTAGGTGCCCGACAGGGGACAGGGACTAGGATGGTGGTAGGAACCCTCCCTTTCTCATCACGTGTACCCTTTGCCCCCGAGCCCTTGCCTGGATCTCCCCATGGGACCCCCTCTGCTCCCTTCCTCTCTGCTCCCGCCATGGCTGTTCCTCTCTGGCCTCACCAGCTTCCCTAGGTTCTCTGGGGAGTATCCAGATTGTCCCCAGGATTTCCATTGTCAAAGTGAGGCCTTGACCATGAGGTCGCAGCCTGGGCTTCCTCCCTGGTTCTCACTCCACCCTCCCCAACTATTCAGGAAGCGTGAGGAGGGGCTCGACGGTTTCCAGCAGTGCTTCTCACACGTGAAGGCCCAGAGTAATGCAGATTCTAACTCAGCAGGTGGGGGCAGGCCTGGGAACTTTCATTGCTGATGCATCTCCAGCTGGTGCCTATGTGGCTGACTCCTGGACCACACTTGGGCAGTGAGGGTTTGGACCAGCATATAAGGGGGGCTGGGGGCAGAGACAGGCTGGACTCTCCCTGCCTGCTGCTGGCTGTGTGAGGGACGAGGAAGCGCTGGCCCTGTGTGGGGAGCTTCCTGGCTTCAGAGCTGGTGGGAAGCTGAGGCAGCTGGGAAGATGCTGGAGAGGCCAGTGAGTGGGGCTGCCAGCTTCCTGTGGTGGAGAGTGAGAAAGCTGGGCAGAAAAGGGCTGAGATGAAGGGGCTGGAAGAGGCTGGTGTGGGTTGGTCAAAGGGGTTTGGAAAAGGCTTGGCAACATTCCTGTGCATATGGGAGGAAGACCCCTGTGAAATGAATAGGCAAGAATGAGAGTCCAGCTCAAGCTTTCCTCTCGCCTTCCAGTCACACAGATACGGCGTTGGAGCTTTGCTCTGGCCCTGGAGCCCATGACTCCCAAAGGATGGCGCTGGGGTAGGCAGAGCCCTTGAATGCAAGTGTCTCCAAAAATAATTGTGATCAAGACTTTGAATTCTAAGGTTCACAAACTTCTCCCAACGCCAATGCTTCCAACTGTACAGATGTGCCTTCATTCGAGGGGATGTGCCAGGGCACGTTGACTGTGGGATGGGGGTTTAGTATTTGGGCAGAGCTCTGGTTCAGTCCTCACAACAGGACATAAGCAAGAGAGAAAGCGGGACAGAAGGCTGTGGACAGACAGGACTTCTCTCCCTGAGAGTCGCATCCAAAAGGATGTTAGGAGGAAGGGAGTCACTAGGGGCTGGAAAGAAGACTGGCTCAGGACATCTTCCCTGGAGGAAGATGGTAGGGCGAGGTAAAGATCACTGAACTTTAATAACAAAGGCCAGTGTGGCTCAGTGGTGGAGCACCGGCCCACACACCAGAAGTTCTCGGGTTTGATTCCTGGTCAAGGGCACGTACTTGGGTTTGTTCCAGGCCCCAGGTTGGGGCATGTGGGAGGCAAGCAATCGATGTGTCTCTCTCACAGGAATATTTCTCTCTCTGTCCCTCTCCTCCTCCCTCCCTTCCACTCTAAAATAATCAATGGGAAAAGTATCCTGGGGTGAGGATTAACAACAACAACAAAAAGGGAGCCCTTCTTCAGAATAAAGGGAACCAGCAGCTATGAGGACCACCCCTCCTGCTCTAAGAACCAGAAATGGAGCAGGAGGGAAACCTGGGTAGACGCCCCTCCACAAAACTCGGGGTCCCGGAAGGCTGGCTTTCTCTCTTCCTGGACCCTTAAGGCCTGGTTGGGAGCCTTCCTCTTAGAATCCCTTCTCTTCTCAACCAACGGACAAGATTGCTCTTAAAAGTGGAAGTTCTTCATGAGACATGGCTTTCAGGAGCCCAGGCACAGAGCTGGAGGAACTCAGGGAGGGCACAGAGTGTAACAGGAAACCAGCAGGGAGATGACAGCTTTACCGAAGGCCTCAAAACAGGGAGCGCGGAAGAGGCAGGAGGCATCCCTGTGCTGGGCCCATATCACTTCGCAGAGAGGGACAGCAGACCATATTGTAAGGGAGATATGTGTTTTGTTTTGTTTTAAAAAGATTTTTTATTGATTCTTAGAGAGGAAGGTTGAGGGAGAGAGAGAAACATTGATGCAACATCGATCGGCTGTGTCCTGCACTTCCCCAACCGGGATCGAGGCTGCAACCTGGGCATGTGCCCTGACCAGGAATTGAACCAGCAACCTTTCAGTGCATGGGACAAAGCCCAACCAACTGAGCCACACCGGCCAGGGTGAGAAGGACCTTTTTTGATGATGGGACACACATGGGCCTTGGGATCCGACAGACTGAATCTGAATCCTGTTTGCCATCTGCCAGCGGGATGACCTTGGTCAATTTAACTTCTAAAAGCCTGTTTTCTTATCTGCAACATGGGGCTGGTAATACCTATCTTGAAGGGTTGTTCAAAAAATTAAAGAGTACGCAAAATATGCCTGCACACAATAGGCACTTTATTAATAGTAGCCTGGCACCTGGAAGGCACTTAGTATTTGTTGAATAAATGAAGTAGCTATTTGGTGTGACCTGTCTACTTGGTTTGCCATCTTTTCTTTTACTTTTTCTTCTAGTCTCATCTTCACTGGGTCAGTACACCCTCAGGGAAACAAGGGATGGTTTATAGAGCTCACCAGCGTTCATCCCGGGAAGTCTAGCTGAGTCAAAGCCTCAGAAGTGGCCCTTCTCTTACAGGGAGGGTTCTTTGTCCCCACCCACCAGTGGGATCCGAGGATGTGCTAGGCCAGTGGTTCTCAACCTTCCTAATGCCGCGACCCTTTAATACAGTTCCTCATGTTGTGGTGACCCCCAACCATAAAATTATTTTCGTTGCTACTTCATAACTGTAATTTTGCTACTGTTATGAATTGTAATGTAAATATCTGACATGCAGGATGTATTTTCATTGTTACAAATTGAACATAATTAAAGCATAGTGATTAATCACAAAAACAATATGTAATTATATATGTGTTTTCCGATGGACTTAGGCGACCCCAGTGAAAGGGTCGTTCGACCCCCAACGGGGTCGCGACCCACAGGTTGAGAACCGCTGTGCTAAGCGCTTCTGCCTGCCTTTGCACATTGGCTCCCACAGTTCAGAGCGGTTTCTCTTTTCCTCTGTTCACATCATTAGGAATCTCATGAACTCCCACCGGTATTTCCCCCACAAACAAACTCGACTTGTGGAGTTTGCTCCATGCCTCCCATTGTTAAGTTTTGTCACTCAAAGGAGCAGCATGAATATATTTTCTTATGGTCAAGGGATGGGTAATTGGGGATCCCTGGAAGCAGGAGCTCCCCAGCTACCCAACAAGGCACAAGTTGGGAAGGTTTGACCACCAGTCAACTCCAATCCCAACCCTGGCCTCAGGGACTGGAATAACAGGTAAAGATGGTACTAGCTCCCCAGAAGAACAAAGGAAACTGCAAAAACCCACCATACCTTCTTATTTTGGGGACTAATCAGAGGGGATCAAGGGCATAGGGGAAAGTAAAGACACCAACCACTTCACTTCTGCCTCTTGAGTCATTTATCAGCATCCACAGACCCCGGCAAGCGGCTTGCTGAGCAAGGGTTATCGGGGCTTATGAGGAAGGGCTGACACTGGGTAACCACAACCTCACCGAGGGGGAGAACTCAAGGCTGGGAAAGGCAATGAGAGGAGCCAGCATAAGGCCCAGACTGAGGCTGCTTTTTCTCAACAAGGCTGCTGGCCCGCGTCACAGCCTCTCATTAAGCATCCACTTGACGCCAGGGAAGTGAAATTGCGCAGACCTGGCACCAGAAGGAACCAATGTGGCACCCACTGCTCCTTTTAAGGACTGGCTCGAGGAGCAGCAGGCTCAGGGAGGAGGTGAGGCAAACACATCCGTACCTTTGTAGGAAGGGGCGAGAGGACTGCTCTCCAGGGCAAGTAATGCTGTAACTGTCACAAATATTCAACACTGTAGGCTTTTCCCCTTTTCGCACAAACTCTGGGGACACAGCATTTCCCTTCCCCCTAGCAGGGCAGCTGGCTTCAACCAAGAAGATCAAAAGCCCCCTTGATAATCATCTGTCAAAACAGAAATACCCTCAGCCCTGGCCGGTGTGGCTCCGTTGGTTGGGCATCATCCCGTACACCAAGAAGTGGTGGGTTCGATTCCCAGTCAGGGCATATGCAGGAGGCAGCTGGTTGATGTTTTTCTCACATTGATGTTTCTCTCTCTCTCCCTCTCTCTCTCTCTCTCTCTCTCTCTCTCTCTCTCTCCCTTCCTCTCTCTGAAATAAAAATAAATAACAGGAATACCCTCACCTGTTACAGGTTCAGAGAGAAAGGCTGGACCAGTGGTTCTCAATTTTAGTATGCATCAGAATCACCTGGAAGGCTAGTTAAAACACAATGCTGGGCTCCATTCCTGGATTTCTCATTCAGTTGGTCTGAGATGGGGCCCAAGACATGGCATTTCTAAAGTTCCCAAGGATGCTCATGCTGATGGTCTGGGCACGGGTGTGGTGTTTGCTACCTGTCCCTTCACATTTCTTCCCATGCATCCATTTTCCCCAAAGGGACAGACATTCCCTTGAACATATATGACCTCATGTGTGTACACTGTACTTTTATTCCCAAGATCTCCAAGCCCTGTCGCATCTATCGCCTCCATTTGCTCTCAAGGGCCATAACCAATGCCATTACTGAGTCCTCAAGTTTCCAATTCAGGAGTCCCTCCCAAGAGCACGCGCCTCCCACCCAGGTCTCACGATACTGTGAGCTGTCAGTGGATCGGGGACTGGCTGTGTGACACACATTGCCCAGACTGACCGGCAGGGAGCTGAGGGGTAAGTGGCCTCCAGAACACAGTGGGGGGAGACGCAACTCATGACTCAGGATACTACGGAGGCAGCAGAGAGAGGTATATTTAAAAATAAGTCCTTGGTAATCAACATAATTGCTCTTTTGGACAAGTTGGTTTTGGGACTTTTGAGGCTCACTTGTCACACTGTAGGCACTAAATAAATAGTTCTTGAATTAATGGTAGTGGTTTATGGAAAACAATCTAAATTAAGTTAGAATCTTGTTGCTGTTTAACTGATAAGCTATTAGCAAAAACAGATTACTGAAGTTAAGAAAACAGGGCAATAACAAGGGTAGATTCTTGTTGGCACGGCTGTACATGCCTTGGGGTGAGAACTGTGCGGTAATTTTCTGGCCCCTTAACAGTAGCTTAATGAAGGTTCAGAGTAGCACACGGGAACTGTGCTCCTTACTGACCAGGTGGCTCCGTGCATCCTGGGAGCATAGCGGTTTCTGTACTTAGGATGGAAAGAGTCTGGCTGTGTGGAAAAAAAAAGGTTTTGTTTTTGTATTCTTAAAATTAGATACTGGAGGGAACAAAGAGCGTAACATAGGTTTTCTGGCAGCAGAAACCCACAGGCTATGTCAGCAAGTAAAACAGATGTGACCAAAAAACTGTTGACGGGGCAGGTATTTTTATAGCTCAGCACCAGGCATAGAGGGTCAGACGGAGGAGACAATGAACGGGTCACACATTCTGTGTTGCCGCCATTAAGGACCTCGTGGAATACAGCTTCCAGGACTTCTGGAGCCTGGAGAGAACACGCAGGCCCAGCCCAAGTCCCCATCTTGCAAATGAAGAAAACAGCGGCTAGCAAGGCCAGAGCCGCTGTGATTGGCAGGGGTTCTCTTCGGCAATCAGTCCACTCCCTTGAAGCAGATTATGGGCTGTGGATGTGGGTCCACAAGTGAATTATGACAGCGACACCACAGTGACACAAGGAACGAGGCTATCCAACACAGTGATTAACCAGGGGAGCACCTACTACTGCGCCAGGCGCTGAGCTTCGTGCTGGTCCTGAGAAATGAGCAAAGTCCCTCTCTCAGCCCAGAGAGACCAAAACACACACACACACAAGCCCCTACAGCTGTAACCCTTTTGTTAATGCAATTGCAATTCCAGAAATACCTCCATTCTCTGCAAACAGGAAGGGGAGGACAATTATTACCCCTTTTAAATAGCTGTGGTAGCCCTAAAGCCTAGGAGCTGACCTTTCAGTTCCCCTTGAAGAAACATGTAGAAACAAGTAGATGCTCTCCACTCAGCATTTCAAAACAGGATATAAATACTCAACTAAAGAACACAGCATCTTAGAATTCCCTAGTGAAAACTGAAAAACAAGGTAGACAGAAAATGGTCTCATACTGTGCAGAAATCGAGAGCTTAGGAAGAAAAACATTTCTTATGCTTAAAATTTCAGAGAAGCACGTTTTGTACCTCAGCATCCATCAGGGAGAGAAATGATACCCACACAAACTCAGTGTAACTGGCTTAGCAAACACCTGGCCCCTCACCCTCCCAAACCTCACTTTCAAAAGAGGATTATCTGTCTCTTCCTTCCAACTCGGGCTGTCAGAATAAGCGCACGGCCGTAACTTCTAATATAAGCAAACATCGAGAAATTATCCTGGTGGTGCAGGTACAAAGCCGTTGAAGGAAAAGTAACTGCCTTTGCACAAATCTCTCCTCTCTGGCTCAAAAGCTGTTGGACAATGTTGCAGGTAATTTCTCACCCTTGAAAATAAACCTCTTCAGACCACTGCCCCCCACCAACGGGCCCTGTTCTGGTGGAACAGCGCCCTTCTCATCAGCCAGCAGGCCCCTGCCACACACACGCTGCTGCATGGCCCACCGTGTGAAGCCGGGAGCAGCAGCAAAAGCCATATGTCACCATCCACGGGGAGGGGAGCCTGACTAGAACCACAAAACCCTCTCCCTCCCCTTCGGCTCTGCCTTACCAAGCCCTCGCACAGAAAGCCATTGTGTAGGCTGAAGAGGGAAATAAAAGCAGGGCGGACTTTTTCCACGCTCCCCTGCAGACTACAAGGTGATGTAAAAGAGCAGCAGCCACCCCCCAACAGCTCTGTAGAAGTGCGGGCCCCAGGGGGCCCCACCAACACTGGCTTTTGGTTGTGTACTGGGCAGCGCCCTCTAATAATGAGCTGAGCTCAATTGCTTGCCATGTATTTTGCGGCATAACTAATCCCTTAGTTTTGTGCTTCTCACCCACATGTCTTATTGTTTGCTTTGGGGGAGAAAAAGCCTCACCTTTGAAGCAATCTAAAGTTCTCTCAGCATCTGGCTCTCTCGCCTCCTCCATTTAGACAAAGCTCTGACCAACCACTGCAGCCTCCTCAGTGTGTCTTTCCCAGTGTTAGCATTTCCTGAACTATCTAGAGGCCAATGGTTTGTTTAACGCTGAGAAGAGTGATGCTATCAGGCGGCTTATCCTCACCTCAGCTCTCAGCCAGCTCAATATTTGCAATAATTCTTAATATGCATGGTGGCTGATCCCTTAGCTTCTTCAGCTAGGCATCTGTTCAGAGTCCTATAAAAGCAGAACTTTTTTTTTCTTCAGTCTTTTAAAGCTGGATATCACTGTTCTGCCAACCCCGTCATTGCTTCCCTGCTTCCCGACTAAGATGGATCTTGCCACCCTTGACTAATCAATTCAGTCAAGCCATCGGGCACAGAGAACATTAGGGCAATTGTTTTTTCCTCCGACAGCTATTTACCATCAGCCATCCACCACATCTCAGACCATTTCCTCTTCCAACTTCTACTCCTTCCCCCAAGAAATTCGAAAACAGAAACAACTTACACAGGCTTACGTAGAGTTCTTAGAATGTATTTTTGTTCACCTGAAAAATAAAACTTTTAAAAAATATACAAGACTTTTTTGAGTACAGGTATATCTTAAATGGCTGAGTTATAAATAATGTCTCTGGTCATGTTCACAGCTAGGGCTGGAACGAATGTCCCAGTTCCAGTGAAGGCGTTAGAGTCAGGAGGCCAGCAGTTGGGCCTAGGAGTGATCCGTCCCAGAGTGGATCCAACAGTCCCGAATGCAGGGGTCAGGATGGGGACAGGGGGTTGGATTCCCAGATGTTCTCCTGCAAGTTCAAAGAATCCTTGGAATAAGAGATCCATTTATAAATTATTAAAATATAGGACTAAAAATTCACACAATAAATATAAAGTACAGGCTATTATTGAAGTTATAAAGTGGCATTTTATGTTTCTCCCCCATGGGTCCCCAACAAAATTTTAAAAGGCCTCAGAGGCTTTCTAATGACCAAAGTCAAGTCAGCTGCTCAGAAATCTCCCCCAGCGGGACACCGTGGGGTGCGACCAGCCTGCCCCCAGGCTATGACAGCTCAGCGGCAGTTTTCTTGCCCACAACAGGACATGGCTTAAAGCAAGGCTGTGCCTCCTTGGATCAGAGCTAACTAGAGTGTAGGCCAGAAAACTGGAGAGACAAACTGTTTCTGGGCTCAGGTGGCGAAATTTGTCCTTTTTTTTTTTTTAAAGGTGCCTCATTTCCCAAAAAGGAAACATTAAGGGGTTTGGTATCTTGTCATACCCACACTCAATTGCCTAAAAGCAAGTGGCAGGAGGAAATGGAATCCTAATTGAGGATGTGTAATTCTTGCTGCCCCAGAGCTCTGCAAGTGTCATTCCCCTTGATGTTTCTCCTCTCAGTAAAGGCACAGGCGTTCTTTACGACAAGCCCACTGAACCTTGCCGCCACCACTCGTCTATTAACTGGCCATCAACGCACAGTCCTGAGCTTTAAAGCCCGTCTTTTAAACCAGAGGATGTGTTCAAAGCTCCGATTTCACAACAAATTCCATCCCAATCGCTGGGCTAAATTGCCACGACAAGCTCAGGAAAGAGGGAAGGCTGGGATGCTTACTGGACCAAGATTTTGGGGAGGGGGGATAAAACAAACACGTGGGAGTCACTCTACTTACAAAGCTTGCTCTTCCTAAACAACTGTGAGGAGGCCAAAGACCGAAGCACACAGGCATGGCTCTTTCCCTTCCTTCCTTCCTTCCTGGCCCATATCCAGACCCTTAGGGTGCCACAGCAAACCTCCTGGGTGGGGGCACTGGGTGGGAAGAGGAGGAGATCAGCACACCCCCGCCTCCCCTTCTCCCTAAACTGCTTCTACTTCTCCTCCCGGGCAGTGGTCGGCAAACTCATTAGTCAACAGAGCCAAATGTCAACAGTACAACGATTGAAATTTCTTTTCAGAGCCAAATTTTTTAAATTTAAACTATATAGGTAGGTACATTGTTATTAACTTAATTAGGGTACTCCTAAGGCTTAGGAAGAGCCACACTCAAGGGGCCAAAGAGCCGCATGTGGCTCGGGAGCCGCAGTTTGCCGACCACGGTAAGGGTTTCCGCGGTCCTTTCAACAAGTCCAAGAGTGATTATACGCTTTTTATGTCATAAACCTATTTCTGAAGTAGGAGGGGAAATAGGGGAAAGAATGGATGATGGAAAAAACAGTTTGTGCCCTGTGGCCGGCTGCACTTTGGGGCCCAGCGAATAGCCCTGGCCCGGCCCCATCAGCCACCCAGGCGGTGGGAGAATATATATAACACGATGTAATTACAACTTCTGGTGCCTATGTCAACAACTATATACAGGGATCTATAAATTAAACGCATTTGTGGCCACTGCCACGAGGCTGACGTACCTGAGCTCCCCTCCTCCTGGTGCCCTCCCGCCTTCCGACAGCTTCAGCTGATTTACGAGCCCGAACGGCTCCCTCTTTCCCCTGAGTCTCGGGGGGAAGCCCGAGTCCCCCCTGCGCGAAGGACACACCCCGCCAGCGGCGCAGAAGGTCGGTGCTGGGACCCCCCACCCCACC